TGGGCAGGCAGGCTCCTGGGAAGGGGAGATGCACTGGGTCCTTTGTCTTGAGCTGTTTTAAAGGCTGGACGGCTAGAGGAGATCTTAGGGGGAAGATCAATAGAATATTCATCGGCTTGATGCTAATGCACCAAAATGAGATTTATTCTCGTAACTGCATCTGTCCTTGGCGTGTGGCTGGCAAATGGCACCAATTGGATTTCTGCTGTCTCCCTGAGCAGGGTGAGTTAAGCTATTTACCCTCTGGTTGGGTAAAATATTTTAAAATATTTTTTTAAAATATATTTTATTGATTTTTTACAGAGAGGAAGGGAGAGAGATAGTTAGAAACATCGATGAGAGAGAAACATCGATCAGCTGCCTCCTGCACATCTCCCACTGGGGATGTGCCCGCAACCAAGGTACATGCCCTTGACCGGAATCGAACCTGGGACCTTTCAGTCCGCAGGCCGACGCTCTACCCACTGAGCCAAACTGGTTTCGGCAATATTTAAATCTTTATTGTTGAAAGTATTACATATGTCCCCCTCCTCCCTCCATTGTCCCCTTGTAGCCCGCCCCCACTCCAGGCCTTCACCACCCTACTGTCCGTGTCCAGGGTTATGCTTATATATATGCATACAAGTTCTTTGGTTGATCTCTTCCCACCCATCCACCCTCCCCCGCCCTCCCTCTGAGGTTCCGCAGTCTGTTCTACGTTTCTGTGTCTCTGGATCTATTTTGCTCTCCAGTTTATGTTGTTCATTAGATTCCACGTATGAGTGAGATCATGTGATCCTTGTCTTTCTCTGACTGGCTTATGTCACTTAGTATAATGCTCTCCAGGTCCCTCCATTGTTGTCTCCAAGGGTAAGAGATCCTTCTTTTTACTGCTGCATAGTACTCCATGGTGTAAATGTACCACAGCTTTTTTTATCTATTCATCTGCTGATGGGCACTTGGGCTGTTTCCCGAGCTTAGCTATGGTACATTATGTTACTATGGACATAGGAGTGCGTAAGTTCTTTCTGATTGGTGTTTCGGGTTTCTTAGGATATATTCCTAGAAGTGGGATCACTGGGTCCAATGGCAGTTCCATGTTGAATCTTTTGAGGAACCTCCATACTGTTCTCCATAGTGGCCGCACAGTCTGCTTTCCCACCAGCAGTGCCCGGGGGCTCCCTTTTCTCTGCATCCTCGCCAACTCCTGTTTGTTGATTTGTTGATGGCAGCCATTCTGACAGGTGTGGGGTGATACCTTATTGGTGTGTTTGGCATCTCTCTGATCATCAGTGACTTTGAGCATTTTTTTCATGTTTCTTGGCCGTCTGTATGTCCGCTTTGGAGAAATGTCTATTTAGATCCTTTGCCCATTGTTTAATTGGATTGTTTGTCTTCCTTTTGTTAAGTTGTATGAGTTCCTTACATATTTTGGATATTAATCCTTTATCAGATGCATCATTGGCAAATATGTTCTCCCATAGCGTGGGCTCCCTTTTCGTTTTGTTGATGGTTTCTGTGCAGAAGCGTTTTATTTGGATGTAGTCCCATCTGTTTATTTTCTCCTTAGTTTCCTTTGCCCTAGGAGATGTATCTGTAAACATATTGCTACGAGAGATGTCTGAGATGTTGCTGCCTATGATTCCTTCTAAGATTTTTATGGTTTCCTGACTTACATTTAAGTCTTTTATCCACCTTGAGTTTATTTTTGTGTATGGTGTAAGTTGTTGGTCTAGTTTCATTTTTTTTTTGCATGTATCTGTCCAATTTTCCCAACACCATTTATTGAAGAGGCTGTCTTGACTCCATTGTATGTTCTTGCCTCCTTTGTCAAATATTAATTGAGCATAATGGCTTGGGTCAATTTCTGGGATCTCTGTTCTATTTCATCGATCTGTATGCCTGCTCTTGTGCCAGTGCCAGGCAGTTTTGATTACAGTGGCTTTGTAGTATGGCTTGATATCTAGTATTGCGATTCCTCCAACTTTGTTGTTCATTCTTGAGATTGCTGCAGTTGCCCTACCCGGCTTGGCTCAATGGATAGAGCGTCGGCCTGCAGACTGAAAGGTCCTGGGTTCGATTCTGGTCAAGGGCACATGCCCGGGTTGCGGGCTGGATCCCCAGTGTGGGGCATGGAAGAGGCAGCCAATCAATGATTCTCGCTCATCATTGCTGTTTCTCTCTCTCTCCCTCTCCCTTCCTCTCTGAAATCAATAAAAATGTTTTTTGTTTTCAAAGATTGCTGCAGCTATTCAGGGTCTTTTTTTGGCTCCACATAAATTTTTGAAGTATTTGTTCTAGATCTGTGATACGTGCTGTTGGCATTTTAATAGGGACTGCATTGAATCTGTAGATTGCCTTGGTTGGTATGGACATTTTAATGATAATTCTACCAATCCATGAACACAGTATATTCTTCCACTTGTTTATGTCTTCCTCTATCTCTTTTCTCAATGTCCTCTGAGTACAAGTCTTTTACCTCCTTGCAAACCATTTACTCTTGAGTGTCCATGGATTAGGGAAGGTAGGATTTACTAGGCGGCTGTAAACTGCTGTTTAACTACCTGCCTCAGTTTCCCTGTTCCAGTTGTCCTGGTTTACTGGCCTGTCTCAACACTCTGCTCACCCCAAACCCCACAGCTCTGTGAGGAGTGGGGCAACACTGGGGCAGATTGAGAGTCCTTTGTCAGCTCAGTGGCCAGGTGTCTGGGGGCTCAGCTCCTGGTTGCCTTGGCCACTAGTCCTGGTCACTCTGTCCTTGGCCCCACAGCCCCTGGAGCCCCAAGTTCCTTCTGTGGAGATGAGCCACTTCCTGCGGCCCTTTGTTCCTGTGTGGGCCGGAGATTAGTCACCCCATTGGCTCCATAACCTTTGCCCAGGCCTCTGGGTGTGGCTGATGGGCCCACGGGGCTGTGTTGGAAATTTTTATTCTCAGCGTGACTGGCCAGGAGCTGAGCTTGCAGCAGGTTGTGGCAAGACTTTTCCTCTGCCTTCTCTTTCACCTCTTCTGTTTATTCTCCTGCCCCTGCCCATCCCGCCCCCCACTCCCCCTCTTCCAGGCGCTGACCAGCTTGGTACAGCCCTTTGAGACACAGCTCGACTGGGCACTTAAGGCCGGCGTGGTCCAGTTTCTTTTGGCGGAAATTGGCCTTCCTGCCATAAACACCTCCACCCTAGGCCTGGGCATCTGGAACATAACCCCTCTTACAGGTCCGTTCATTTAGTGCTAGTGACAAACCCTCTCCAGGCAGGGACATGAGGCCACTCCTGGGACAGCCTCAAGCTCTAGGCGGGAGACAGTGCCCGCTGCGATGCATGTCTGTGCAGCAGCTTCCAGTAAGGGCTGCCTGTCCTCTCAGTACTGGCTGTGGGCCAGGAGCACCCAGTCTTTCAGAAAGGAGCATGTGTGGGAGGCAAGAGGGTGCCCTCACCCTCACCTTGGCCCCTCGATGCCAAGCCCCACCTCTCCTCTGAGGAACTGGAGCATACCTCCGGTCTCAAAGGGTCGTTAGGAGTGAAACGTGCCGTGGCGGTGCTTGCACGATGCACGGGTGAAGTTTGGGCCTCGGGTGTGCACCCGTCACAGCTGAGGTGTTGAAGGAACAGCGCTGGCCCATGTGCCGCGACTACAGTGGGCAGAGCGGGCAGCTGTCACGGGGCTGCAGGGCCCAGTGGGTCATGACGGGTGGGGGGAGTCCCCAGGTTTCGACAATAGCGATGACTTTCCATGGCAAGAAGCCACTGGCCATCATGGGGAAAAGGCGAGCGGGAGAGGGAACCCAGGGAGGCTCAGGGCCCGGACTGTGGTGGGTGATGGCGCCGTTCTGCGTTGTGAAGAGGACCCGAGGGGTCTGGAAGGGCCCGGAGTGGGTTCCAGAGAACAAGGAGCCAAGGACTCCGAGGTTCAGGCACGGGGGCAAGTGTGTCTGCGAGATGCGGTGGAGGGAGCAGCGGGCAGCGGACACCAAGGAGCCGGCGCTTGGGAAGAGGGTGCCCCACCAGTGCAAACGGAGGCAGTCAGCCAGGCGGTGACCCCCTGGCCGGGGGCCTCCCCCATGTTAGAGGCGGGGTGGGCGGCAGTGATGGGAGAACCGAGAAGGGGCATTGACTCGGCAGTGGGGAGGCTGGTGGTGACTGGAGAGCTGCTGTGTAAGCAGAGGCAAGACTGATTACAAGTGGGTTCTAGAAAGCAGCGGAGAAACGGTGGCAGCTGGAGGGGATAATGACGGGTTAAAGGAGGGTTTTCCAAAGGCGGGTGCTGACCTGGTAACTACGAACTGGATGGATGTCCTGGGGGCTGGGTGAGGCGCAGTCCGACCCGGAGCAGGAGGAGCAGGGAGAGCGCCGTGGCCAGCAGAGCGGTGCGCAGCTCCGGATGCTCCCGAAGCCCTGCTCCCACAGGGGCAGGCATGGAAGGGAAGTAATTTTCTCCAAATGTTTCTTGTTCCTTCCCAGGCTCACGGTGACACTCTCCTTGTGGAGGCCTGCTGGTTTCCTAACATCTGCCTGGGGATGAACTTGTTACACAGATTTGGAAAACCTCTTTTCCCAGGTAGGTCTCAATCTCTGACTGAAATCACACAGGCACAGGTGATGAGACTGATCGAAGAGGCCCAATTCTGGAAGCATGCCCACTGGAAAAAACCTTGACATTTGACCCTGCACAAGGCGACCAGGGACTAAACCTTAAAGGTGGCCTGTTACATATTTTTTTAAAGATATTTTATTGATTTTTTACAGAGAGGAAGGGAGAGAGACAGAGAGTTAGAAACATCGATGAGAGAGGAACATCGATCAGCTGCCTTCTGCACATCTACTGGGGATGTGCCCGCAACCCAGGTACATGTCCTTGACCGGAATCGAACCTGGGACCTTTCAGTCCACAGGCCGACGCTCTATCCACTGAGCCAAACGGGTTTCGGCAAAGGTGGCCTGTTTTAGTATCAGGCTGGTGACCAAATTTTAAAACTTCACCCTGTAGCATTGAGGAGGCACCAGTGTCACCGAGTAGGAAGAACGACCCCCTTCTCGGGCTTCTCCCAGGCAGTGCTTCCTGCAGGTGCAGAGCCTGGCTTGCTGCCCGCAGTGGCACTGGGGTCCCCGTGACCCAAGGGGCTTCAAGCCAGTGACAAGTCCTCCCCTCACTGCACTAGACCTGGGCCGTGACATCCCCTCCAGAGGTGGCCCAGGGTCCACGTGACAGCCCCCCGCTGCCCCCTGCCTGGCAGCACCATGACCAACGCTGCTGCCTCGGCTTGTTTTCACCTCAAGACCATTTCAGATTTCCCCTCACACGACCCTTAGATGCGCCATTGTCCGGAGGCGCCCCACTCCCGGGGACAGGGGCCGACCCCAAGCAGACAGGCAGCAACTGCGGAACAGAGGCTGAGAAGGATGACTGTTTATAAACATTTGGAATTTTATTTAAAAAAAAAAAATCACAACCATGAACATTGTTACAGTTAGTTAGAGGCCCTCTTGGTTCCCCACAATGATACTGAGCATGCTCACAAGGGGTTCCCATTAGTCTTAGTTAAACAACCATCTTTAAAAGGAGAGAAAAAAAAACTCGGCACGCTACCATTGAACTTGTTTTAATGTTTCTTCACAAATGGTGAAAAATACTAAAGTACAGACAAGGAATAATCATAATGTTGTGGCCAACATTATAAATATGGAATTATAAATTTAAAACATTTTCTGGTTTAAAAAATAAATCTGGTAGTCAACGCAGCTTGCGGGGTCTCTGCATCTAGTAGGGCCGGTCTCTGCGTTCCTGACGGTGTTCACCTCTACGAGGGGGAAAAGAAAAGGGGGGAAGGAGAGGGCGCGGGTTAAAATGGGGAGAGGAAAGGCAGCCCTTCCACACACCCGAGTCCTGGGGGAGCTTCCTGCCTGCTGACAGAGCCGGTCCCACCATCACATACTTATCCATCTTTCCAGGTCCTCCACGCCCGCCTCTTCTTCCTCCCATCTGCTCCATCAAAGGTCCAGGAGGACCCCCAGGGCCACCTCGTCTTCCTCCGCCGAAGCCACCGCGGTCCATGCCCCGGCCGCCACGGAAGCCACCTCTGTCTCCACCACGGCCACCTCTGAACATGCCACCAGGACCACCGCGGTCCATGAGGCCACCTCTTCCTCCCCGCATGCCACCAGGGCCACCTCTGCCACGGTCACCGCCTGAGGTAAGAGAAAGGACAAATCAGTGGCAAGACAGAACGGGCGGACGCACAAGCTCTGCGCTTCTCCCGGAGCAGAGCCCTCACTTGGTCGCGACATCTGGGTTGGCCACCACTTAGCAGTGATGACGGCACTTAAGGGCCCAGATGCACTTACTGCAACCACTGACCCGGTTCTGAGCAGTGGACAGCTGTGGGTGACCAAGCCCACCAAGCTAGTAAGAGGGTTAGTACCAAGGAGCTGAGGGATGCTCCCCAAACCTGTACCTACCCGGGGGTGGAAAGGGTGGCGGGAGGAAGCCTTCAGGCTTCGGGGCCTTACACTGGTTGCATTCTGTTCTCCAGGCGAAATTCTGGTTTCCACACCCCCTGCGTCAAATTGTACAATAGGAAGCATCAGTATTTGAGCTAAGGAAGTCGAACAAGCAAAGACAACCTGTCAGCAGGCACACTCTCCACCACCACCACCAATAAATAGGTCCTGGTCAAACTCCACACAAAATGGCTTCAGAACTAGAGCCTCAGGCAGCAATACGTCTGTACGCCCTCATACCTGTGACTGAGAGTCCAGCAGAGCTGCGCCCTTTAGGAGGTCCTGAAGCAGCTGGTAGTGACTGATTAGCCCCCCTCCCCCCAATAGCAGTCAGTCATCATCCCACTTCTCTTCAGAACGGGATCAGGGCGAGACGTGGAATGACGTCACTAGCAGGCTAGCAATGTGCCAAGGGAAGTACGTACGGGTTGGGGCACTGCCAGTCTCCGGCTCGGTGCTGGACGTTTCCTCCTCCGGAGGGGTTTCCCCGGGAGCCCCGGGGCCCTCTTGGGGGAAAGCCTCCTCTGTCTCCTCCTCGGCCTCCCATGCGACCCATGGGTCCCCCGGGGCCTCCTGGGCCTCCCGGACCTGAAATAAAGAACCACCACCCTTTAGAGCACCAGGTTTGCTTCAGGAAAATGGCCACCGTCGTCCTGGCCCCATCCGGCCCCTTTCCCACAGCCCAAGGTCCTGAACAGCACAGGGATGAGCCGTGTGGCTGGGAAGCCACAGCTCCCACAGCAGTTGGAGGAGGGCAGGTGTTTTCATACAGATGGAGAGACCAAAGCAACATAAATGCAACAGCCCCTCCTCAGGTAATTGGGGAGGCCGAACCAACAGCCCCAGGGTTGACACCCAGGCAGAGTGTTCCCGGGGGTTCCAGCCTCGCTGACTAACCAAGGTTATGTTCTTCGCTTCCTTTTACTCCCATAAACTCTTTTTTTAAAGAGAAGCACTGATGGGAGATACATCGATCAGCTGCCTCTCACACATGCCCCAACTGGGATCGAACCCGAGACCTCGGAAGGACACAGGACTGTGCTGAAGTGAGCCACACCGGCCACGACTCTCCCAGCATTCAGTAGTCTAATATTACGTCCCCTTTTTATATTTCTAATTAGCTTGTCTACTCTAGAAACCAAATTTCTCCAAGATAAGTGTCTTAAAAACTTTCAACGCAGCCGCGGACTAAGTCCAAGCAGGTGTCGGTGCCTACCTCCTCG